TGATGGCACGCGTCACGTCAGAGCTTGTACCCCCGAGATACTGTTCGACACGTCTTGTCCCGACAATCCCAGGACGATAATGCCCCGCATGCCGAGTCATAATCCGTACTGATGCCGTGATGTATCCACCATACCAATCTACGTGCGACTGATCCTCTCACGGCATATTTGTTTATCAATAATTTGAGTGTAACATCGTTTAAAAATTTATTATTATAAGTGTCTCAAAAATATTTAAATATTAATTAGTTTGAATATAAATTAGTCAATGTTAACTATGAGGGATGCTAAGAAGTTGCTTGATATTTGAATTTGACTAAGAAGGATTTTTGGATTTTCTTGTGAAAAAACCCATATATCCAAAAAAAAAAATCCAAAAACAGCAACCAGCTAATCTATTAATTTAAAAGGAGAATATACCCTATGTTTAGGAAATCATCACACAAAAATACATAGGTCAATCCCTTATCCAAAAAAAATTGACTATGAATCTATAGCAAAATTAGATAACTTAGACATCGAGAATCTTCTCTAAATATGTAAAAAAATTTAATTTTTAATTTTTTTAATAATTTAGATTTTTTTATAAGATTGAAAGTATATCAAGAGGATCAATCTTTGGAGAGTCATAGTCGATCATGATGAATAACGCAGCCAAGCATGGAACAAAAGTATGATCATGCGATGATTAATAGGGATAAAATGATTGTTTCTAAAAAAATAAAAAATTTCAGTCTATAAAAATAAAATACATTAAAGAATTTTTTAAAAAATCGCTCATGATTTTTTTATAATTTACTTTCCATTTATTATCTAAAAAATAAATACATTAATCCCACCTACCAAACATCCACAAAAATCAGAAATCTATGGCCGATGATGATGTTTCAGCGGACGCTAATAAACACTTCCTGAAAAATGTTTCCGGAAACCCCGTCCGCTTCGGCCATCAGAGATGCAGTGACATGTAAAGTACAAAGTGAAAAGAAACAAAAACAAAATCCAGAAACAGAAAACAGATATTTAGATGAGATATTAACAGCGTATGATGACGTCACAATCATCAACCTGTCGTCTATGCAGTGGGCAAATGGAGTGGGCCGCTGGAACGGGTTCTTTAGCCGATCCGTCGCGGTGGTAAGTGACACCCGATCTCGTCAAACCTTCTCGATGGCCGGCACGACGGCGAAGGGCTCAAACGCTGCCATGTATTATTGCTCGTTCCCGTTCGAAGGATGCCCGCCGCGATTCGAATCTCGAAGCCGCGGAGGCGATCGCGGGAGCTCCTTTCCGTGCAACTCTCACGGTAAGAGTCGACGTCAGAAGCTGTGCGATGTTCTTTCATCTCGTTTTCTCGTTCGTTCTGGTCAGAATTAGGCAGGATTTAATGTGTCCTCGATTCGAAGAGGAAAGAATCACAGATCAAATAGGAGTTGATCTGATTAGCTTTCCAAAAGCTGGCGATTTCCTAAAATTAGGTTTCTTGTTTGGTCTTGGCATTTATTGACGTTGGAGGCGGTTTCCGATTTCAAGGTGAGATCTTTCTGTTCCTTGAACGTTTTTCGGCTGGCTTTATTTGATCCACGAAACGTAGAGCAGAATTGAAAGGTGTTACGCGCTTCTCTCCTTTTCTGCTTTCGATTTAAGGTTCTATATCGAGTTATTGATTGATAAATTAACTTCCCCTGGGGCGTTGAGGCCAATTGATTGCTCCTCGTCGAAATTAGTGTGTGAAACATAGAAAGTTAGGGTTTTTCAGCAACACGTTTGGCGAGGGACGCAATTCTTATTACTGAGCTTGAACTGCTTCGACGATCACAGATTGAAGATACATGGGGAAGGGAGGAGGTTGCGTGCCGAGCAAGAAGCGGCAGCCAGCTGCTGCCTTGGATGGTTCCGCCACCGCCGAGAAGAATGCTCCTATTCCCGTGGAGGAGAAGATTGAAGCCAGCGCAGAGGTCATCGAACCCGCTTTACCATCGTCGGTCGAGTCCAAGCTCAAGATCTTCATCGTGTTCTACTCCATGTACGGCCACGTTGAGTCTCTTGCCAAGCGAATGAAGAAGGGTGTGGATGACATTGAAGGTGTAGAGGGTGTCCTGTATCGTGTTGCAGAGACCCTCCCACCGGATGTCTTGGACAAGATGCATGCTCCGCCCAAGGATACGGCGATCCCGTTGATATCGGCTGCAGAGATGGTTGAGGCGGACGGGATACTGTTTGGTTTTCCGACTAGGTATGGGTGCATGGCTGCTCAGATGAAGGCCTTCTTTGATTCTACTGGACAGCTATGGAGGGAGCAGAAGCTTTCCGGCAAGCCAGCCGGGTTCTTCGTTAGTACCGGTAGCCAAGGGGGAGGGCAGGAGACCACTGCGTAAGTCCATCTATTGCCAATTTTTGATCTTTCTGCTTCTGTATGAACAACTACAGACTTTTTATACAGCTTTAATCTTTAAAATGTCATCATCTGATCATGTTAATGTTTCTTCGTATAAGGATAGTTCTTTATAGCCACAACTGATTAGAGAGACCAATTTGGGATAGAGGTGCTAAGAGATTATAGAAAGGAAAAAAAAAACAAGACACAAGAGTATGGTACCTCAAGCATGGGGAAAGATTTGACGATTTGGGACCAAATGCTTGTTCATTGTTGTTATTGGTGGTGGTGATGGTCATGGTGTAAGTTTGGATTGTTAACACATGCTTTAGATTACTTTGGTACTTGAATTTCCTTAAGATCATCTCAAATGAGTCGGTGTGAATTTGGTTCTTATACAGTAATGTTTTTTTTGAAAGTGACAAACAATTTTTTAAGAATCTGTCGAGATGGTATGGACATATGTAACAAAATAAATAGTAGGCCTAGAAATAAAAGATGCTTTGGTTTATGTCCTAATATGCCCAGAAACAGAAAGGGGAGGTATAAAGTTACTTGGAAAAACATTCTAAATTTGATTAAATGGCACCAATTGTAATGCTTACACCGAGGAACATATGAACTTTTATACGACATGGTTTATATCTCTCAGCTAGTACTGTAATCGCCTGCTGAAGAGCATTAAACAAAGAACATGTTAGCCATGGAAAACAATTTTTGCTAGTTTTTGCACGATGATATGGCAGCTGTTATGGTCACCATTGGCAGTACTAAAGCCTTAATCCCTTCTGGTTACTTTCTCAAGAGACATATTTGATTTTTGAATGTGGTGTCCAAAAATATATCTGAAGTGTGAGTGGACCGAGTAGGGAAGTTCTTTTCAATAATTCAGATCCGGTAACTTTAGCGATAAATATTACTTGATTGTTGCGGAAAGTGTCACATAGGTGTTTGCCTTGTAACACTTGCACACTAGAAGCACTTGAAAGTTCCATGTTTTATGGATTAATTTTATCCGTGTGACTAGTTGTGGCAGTCTATAATAACCTATCTTCAAAGTAATGCAGAAACTTCAAATTTATTTAGTGTACAATTTGCTTTGACATACTCTGTTTGAATTTATTAATATGAGAAGTTGATGGTATTGACTTGGTTAGAGTAACTTGACTCTTTTCTCTTCGGTATAGTTGGACTGCGATTACCCAATTGACCCACCATGGCATGCTCTTCGTTCCCATCGGATACACCTTTGGAGCTGGTATGTTCGAGATGGATGAAATCAGAGGTGGTTCTCCATACGGTGCTGGCGTCTTTGCCGGAGATGGCACAAGGCAAGCTAGTGAGGCAGAGCTTGCCCTAGCAGAGTACCAGGGCAAATATATGGCTTCTGTAGTCAAGAAGCTGGTGCAAACTTGATCCTTTCACTAGCTATTCACTGGGATTGCATGTTTTCTATGTAAAACCTGAATGCCTAATGTTCTATTCCATTCATAAATTAGCTCTTCGCCTATGTGTTTTCTGATACCTGTAATTATTTCTTGTATTTGGTAATGGTCATGTGTCCAAAAATCATGATGTCTTTGACAAAATAAGGTTGTGGCATTTGATCTTCGATATTTAGATTCTCTTTGTTTGGTGTGTTTTGGAGTTCCAGTCTCTGTGGATTCAGTAGATCATGCTGTGCAAGCATGATTCTTCATCGGAGTTAGATCCGGGTTTCGGAACAGGGATATGTTATCGGATCCGGGTTTAGATTCACCCGACCCAATGGATGGCGTCTCTGGGCAGTTCCGCCCCTTCTGCTGATCTGTTTTCGCCGTCTTATCAACTTAACGGGTTGAGGGACATTTTAGTAATTTAATTCGATCAAAATCCGCGGACGTTTCTGTAACGGGCAATCGAACGGCCAGAAACGTCGGCGGTGGATCAGCGCCTTCTATAGTCCTCTCGGCGGTAATACTTCACGAACCAGAACACACTCGTACCCACGATTTCACCCGTCCGATTGTGTGGGCCACACATGATAACCCAGACACGGATTTCCGAAACGACGTCGGTGTCCCAAAATAGCCCCCCCCATGACGCGGGCCACGTCACGACACGGTCCGTCCCACGATCCCATGCGGCGCCACGTTCCGTGGAAACCGTTTCATGGCGCCTCCTCTCCCTCCTCTCCTGTCTCTGCTCTACTTCTGTTCGGTCTTCTCTTTCCTTTCTTTGCCTAACCCTCTCCCCCTTCTTACACCGACCTAGTTCGCGCCACAAGGAGGGATATTGCGCCGATTTTAGCTTTAAGGGACTCGATTTGGCCCTGTTCTTGAGGCGACATTCCGGTTTCTGGTTGATCCTTGGCGATTCTTCGCCATCCGCAGTACCGTCTGTGTTTACAGGACCTCCCACCTCGGAGATCCGGGCGGTTTCCTTACCCAGGTCGGTGGTCCATGAGTCTCAAATCGGAGCCTCGTCCCAGAATCCCCAGAAGAATTTGATTCTGGGGGCAAAAAATTGTCTTTTTGGCTGGTGCTGGTTGAATCCTGTGTGGTGGTTCTCGACTCGAAGCAGAATGGCTGCTGCTTGCCGGTTCTTGGCATGTCTACTGCTACTCGTCGCCCTCCCGACTTCCATGGTGGATGGCCTCGGGGTGAACTGGGGGACGATGGCCACCCACCGGTTGCCGCCCAAAACCATCGCGCAGCTCCTACAAGACAACGGCATCAAGAAGGTCAAGATATTTGACGCGGATCCGTCCTCCATGAGCGCATTGGCCGGGACAGGGATCGAGGTGATGATCGCCATCCCCAACGACATGCTCGCGAAGATGAACGACTACGACGCGGCCAAGCAGTGGGTGAAGAAGAACGTCACCCGCTACAACTTCAACGACGGAGTTGACATCAAGTATGCGTTTGGTCCCGTTGGCGTCGCTCCTTGGTAATGTCGCCATGTTCTTCTGACTCTATTGTGCGTGCAGATACGTAGCAGTTGGTAATGAACCCTTCTTGAAGTCATACAACGATTCCTTCACCAACATCACCTTCCCGGCGCTGAAGAACATCCAGAACGCTCTCAACGAAGCAGGAATAGGAGACGCCATCAAAGCCACCGTCCCCCTCAACGCTGACGTCTACGACTCACCGGCGAGCAACCCGGTGCCGTCGGCCGGAGACTTCCGAGCTGATATCCGTGACCTAATGGCGCAGATCGTCGAGTTCTTCAGCCTCAATGGTGCGCCCTTCACCGTCAACATATACCCATTCCTGAGCCTGTACGGGAACAGCGACTTCCCCATCGACTTCGCCTTCTTCGACGGCACCAGCGCTCCCGTTGTCGACAACGGGGTGGCGTACACCAACGTGTTCGACGCCAACTTCGACACGCTGGTCTCGGCTCTGAGGAAAGCTGGCTTCGGCGATCTGCCTATCGTGGTGGGGGAGGTCGGCTGGCCTACCGACGGCGACGTGAACGCCAATGTGGCCATGGCGGAGAGGTTCTTCGGTGGCCTCCTGAAGCGCCTTGCCGCCAAGAGCGGGACGCCGCTACGGCCGAACATGGAGATGCAGGTGTACTTGTTCGGCCTCGTCGACGAGGACGCCAAGAGCGTGGCGCCCGGGAACTTCGAGCGCCACTGGGGGCTCTTCACCTACGACGGACGGCCAAAGTTCGCCGTCGATTTCTCCGGGCAGGGACAGAACGGGATGCCGGTGGGAGCGAAGGGCGTGCAGTACCTGCCGACGAGGTGGTGTGCGTTGAATCCGGCCGCCACGGACCTCGGCAAGCTCGCCGACAACGTCAACTTTGCCTGCACGTACGCGGATTGCACCGCCCTCGGCGGCGGGTGCTCCTGCGATGCGCTCGACGCTTCAGGGAAAGCTTCGTATGCCTTCAACGCGTACTTCCAAGCTCAGAGCCAGAACGGGGAGAGCTGCTATTTCCAAGGACTCGCCATGGTGACGACGCAGAACATCTCGCAGGGCTCCTGCAACTTCACGATTCAGATCGCATCTTCCGCCGCTTCGACCTCTCGCCGGGGGCGGCTGGTGGTGCTTTTGTTGGCGATTGCCGCCGGGCTCTTGATGTAGATAGAAGTAGTGGATTTCTCTGTGATTGACTTATTCGTGTTATATGCTCTTGAAAATAGCAACCGTCGTCATATGTTACGATGTTAGATTTTGTGTGCATCGATCGATAGATTTGGTGTTTCCCATTGTTCAACGTATTCATCTTCGAACTAATTGTGCTCGAGATTGTTATATATTGCTAGTCGCACTTGTTCAAGGAATATAAGTGTCATAAAAAAAACTTTCTTATAAGAAAAATATTTAGATTATCTTCCACATACCAACAAATATGGACAAAAGTCCAAGATGAATTGTTCGTAGCTGACTTACCTCTATCACTCACATAAACAAAATACTAAGAGGGAGACATTAGAGTGATTACATAGTGTCCCCTAAAAGTTAATCTTCGATGCTACACACAAGGAGGGCTCCTTTTCTAAGACAAACTCACACCTACTAAAAGATATTGATCATTAACTTGAGCGTCGGAGGGAGGGTCAAAAAATTTTTCTAACATTGATCTTAGTTAGGAGCTTGACGCTTCTACCTCAAAGTCACCTTAGTCACCACATCGGACACTCTTGCGCCCTCGAGTTTGGACCACATCATATTGACTCAAACATCGATGATGATTTCTCCTAACATTTTTTATACTAGAATGAGGGTCTAATATTGTAATAACGTTTGCTTGTCAATCCACTTAATGAATGCTTCAGCGAGGAGACCCTTTATTTAAGAGGGTAGCTGTCATCGTCCCCTCACATGGATACATCCACGTCAGTGCAAATGCCAGCGTAGTACTTGTTGGGAAATCTCATATCGGCATCTCATATGTAGCAGAAAATAAAAACAAAAACAAAATCAGATTTTTCAAAGTCAATTACTTGGTCATTGTGCAATGATTAGTGTGCGAGAAAATCATAAAATCGAAAACTACACGTATCATGTGAAAAGTGTTATCTAGGGAGATCGTATACCCCTAAAATTTCTAGATCCAATAGAGAGAATGAAGGAGAACTCGTGTGCTCGTCTTTAGCGATGATCCACATGGTAGACGCGATAATAACACTCCTCGAATCGCTGCAGGATCTTCCTCTCCATGCAAATCATAAGATTGTCAGAGTCAAGGAGGCTGAGGAGAATAGGAGGAGCGACCACCAAAAGCTTTAGCATATGAACCTTGAGGTTCCTCCTATTTATAAAGGTGCATGCAGCTTAACCCTCAATGGATCTTGACCTTATTGGGTATTAGATCGCTATCCAATTACCTAATCTCATTGGATTTCATCTATAGAATAAAAAATAGGAGCTTTACGGATATCTCATATTTGTATCTCTATTCATCACAACATTCATTATATGTGTGTGACCCTCTATGCCCAATATCGAGTTGGCTGTGAGTTGCTCTTGTCAGAACTCCTTCTGATAGAGTGAATTATTATCTTCATAATAATTCACTCGACTCATCGACTTTGGACGTACTAGGCCACTATATCATAGTCCTTAGACGATATAGGGGATCTAATTCATTGGACCTATCTGTCTACAATTATTATATATCTATAGTCCATCATCCATCTAATATCCCAAAGATCATATATTGAGCATGGTTACATCAGGCACATACGAAATTATGTCCAAGTCTTGCTCTAATCGGATTCTCCCGAAGAACTCATTCTCTCTCAATCCGAACAACCCTAGCCAAAGATTTTATCGAGCATACACAGGATATTCTTCTTGCGATACTAAGAGTAGATGATCCTCTGTTGATACTCAATTACCTTCGTAAGGTTAGTTGTCATTCCTGATAATCGGTTGCACTAGATTTAAAACTTCCAAACTTATAAGTCTGATGTTAAAGAATGGAGTACTCATACAAGGTATCATTGTGTCTGAAATCTAAGAACCAAACATACAACTAGGACTATAGAATCGCTATCTATGGGTTGGCTCCTTGAGTGGGTTATCCCTTTAAGAGCACGAGACCTTCCTCACAATGATGTTATATTTCTTTCTCAGTTTGTTGACGCAGCCATGATGCTTAGATTGAGGCAAGTCCAATGCCTCTACTAATGACTTGCAAACAATAGCTTTGGCCGAATGAGGCTTTGTTGTGCTTGGCAAGGAGCCAAACACCTTCTTCTTCAAGTGTAGATTCATGCTAGTAAAAGATCCAAGTCATAAAGTTAAGGACTACAAAGAGAGGTGAAGTGAAGTGATGGGAGGTTCAGATCGTACCCCAAGGAGCCCGATTGAGACCCACATTGATCAACCAGTCATTGTCTATCTTCCGGACTATCTTGAAGGAAGAGAGTATGTCCCTTAGTTGAAGCATTTAACCCGCCTTCTTGTTCGATAGGAAATGAGAGGTATTGTCAATGAAATATGTCGACCAAGTAAGATCGAATCTCTAGTCTCGACTTGAACTCATAAGAAAGAAGTGCTCCTTCCAACCTTTATGGTTGGAAGAGGTACTACTGACCTTGAGACCTCTCCGAGAGGCTAGATAATAGCCACTTCTTCCCTTGCACAACTAAAAATAAATGACGAAAAGGATGTAGGTCGGAGTAATACTAGCACATCGGCATTCTTTGATGAACACTATTAAGTATCGTCACAAGTTGGGCACCATTTGAGAAAGCGATATCCCTCACCATTAGAGGCAGAACACTATCATCGGAGAAGGGAAAGATGAAGTCCCGCCTCAAGGGAATCACAAGATAAGTAAAAAGACTTAAGCGTGAGGTCGAAAAGGTGCTGATCAGGTCGAGGGACATGTAAATCAAATTTGGCCGGGATAGGCATGCTCACCATTAAGTCGTGCTCACCTAGTTCATAATAGATATAAAGAGGCGTGCTCACCATTAAATCGCAGTCATATGAACTTTTCATAAACTCTAAGTCTTGAAAAACCTTCAAGTTCATGGGAGATACCTCCTTCGATGAAGGAGAGGACGCAACCTCCTCTGCCCTTATATTCTCCAAAGATGGAGCACAGACCTCAATCGACTAATGGCCAAATAATCATGAGGAACTTGTATAAAAAAGGAAAGACATATCAAACTAAAGCAAAAGAGCAGGATGACTGACGATTGGTTTGTTGTAGAACTGATACTAGGATAAGGGATTTAAAATCTGACCCCGCCCTATTGGGAATGGGGGCGAGGTAGAGAATATTCTTAAGGAGGCCTTGAGGGTGAGGTTGAAAGCTTCTAAGGAGGCTCTAATTGGAGTCTTTGGAGGCTAAGATGAAAGAATTAATTCCGCTCTATAAGAGGAGGGGGGATTTATAAAGAGGATGTTGATCTCCCTCCTCCTACAATCAAGACAAGTGTCCCTTCAGGATAAATCCCAAGAGATACTAATAGCAAGAGGATCCAAAATCCACCATTGCAAAGAGAGGACTTGAAGCTCATCATGATAGGAGAATGACTAGCAGTCCACCATAGTGGAGGGAGGACTTGAAACCCACTACGATAAAGGGAGGACTTAAAGCTCACCACGACGGACGAAAGACTCGAAGCCCGCCATAATAGACAAATGATTCAAAATCTATCATTACAAATAAAAGAGAAATCCATTATGGTGGAAGCTTAGGGTGAAAAGTGCCCGAGACATATGAGTTAGGAAAACCTGACCCATACCAAGATAAATCTACTACGACGAAAGAACAGGATGAAATGTGCATGAGGCATGTGAGTTGAGAAAATCCAACCCATACCAAGAAAAAATTGCTATGACAAAAATACAAGGCAAAATGTGCTCGAGGGGTGTGAGTTAAGAAAACTCAGCCTATGTCAAGAGAAATCCATTACTGCGGAGGCACAAGGCAAAATGTGCTCGAGACGTATAAGTCGAGAATCCTAACCCATGGCAAGAGAAATCTGTTACAACTGAGGTGTAGGTCGAAATATGCTCGAGGCATGTGATTTAGAAAAACCCGACCCATGTCAAAAGAAATCTACGACAGTGGAGGCATAGGGCGAAATGTGTCTGAGGTGTATGAGTTGAAAAAATCCAACTTATGCTAAGAAAAATCTACTACAACGAAGGCACAAAGTGAAATGTACCCAAGGTATGCAAAGTCAAGAAAACCTTACTTGTGCTAAGAGAAATCAACTACAACGAAAGCGTAGGGTGAATTGTATATGGGTTAGGAAAACCTGACCTATGCCAAAGGAAATCCGTTACTACGAAGGCGTAGAGTGAAATGTGCCTAAGGCTATGAGTTAGGAAAATCCGGCTTGTGTCAAGAGAAATCTGCTACGACAAAAGTGTATGGTGAAATGTGAACAAGGCATGTGAGTAAGGAAAACCCGATCTATGCCAAAAGAAATTCGCTATGGTGAAAGCATAAGGTGAAATATGCTCGAGGCGTGTGAGTCGAGAAAACCTGACTCATATCAAGATAAATCTGCTATAGCGGAGATACAAAATGTGTCTAAAGTGTATCAGTTAGCAAATCTCGACATGTGTCAAGAGAAATCCGCTATGGTGAAAGCATAGGGTGAAATCTACCATGGTAGTGCATGACTAAATGCACCTAAGCCATGTATCAAGAAAACCCAACTCAAGCTAAAGAGAAGTTCGTCATGGTAGCATAGGACGAAATTTGCCTGAAACATATGAGTTGGAAAACCCAACCCCCACCCGACCAACATGTTATTTTGATGCCACAAAGGGGCAGGTTGGCAATGGACCTATCAGATAAATTAAATGTCCCACTCCGAACACTTTAACAAGAACCTTGAAACACTCCTCGAGGGGGGTAACAAAAGATAGAGAATATATTAATGACCAACCAACATCCAACACATAAATGTCACGTGGAAGCATCGTGAGAAAAAAAAGGTCTAGGTCACCCTTCACTCATCTATATGCATTGACAAAAGTCCAAGACACGTCATTCGAAGCTATCTGCCCATATCGCTCACATAGACAAAACGCCAAGAGGGGTCCATTAGGGCGATTACAGATTATCCCCTTTAAAACTAGATATAAAAGTTAATCCCTAGCGCTACACTAGAAGGACTCTTTTTTCAAAATAAAGCCACACCCACTAAGAGACATCAATTACTAACTTGAACGTAAAAGGGATCGGCTTGAGAAATTTTCCTTACATCGATCTTAGCGCAGGTGTCGCCCTCCAACACTCGTGCACCCTCAAGTTTGGATCATGTAAAATTGACCTAGACGTCGTCAATGATTTTTCATAACGTATATCAATTCAAAACTCGATTAATATTATAATCTTCACATGTGCTAAGAACAAGCTGGAAATAACCACTCTTTACCTTTGGTATAAGATGTCAACTAAACTAGTGAAGATCACATATAAACAACATCATCAGTACAAAAATTTAATTAAATGACTCAAGCTATCATTTAAAGAGCGGAAGTTGAAGCTTCCAAGGGAAAAAATGTTTGAGACAATGGGGAAAAGAATAAAAATAACAACACTCCTCCAGTGTAGCAAGTGTTTTAGGCATTCCATTCTGACAATGGTCGATGAATTTTAACACCTAAAAGGTTTCCATTTTACACTCATCAGCAGCACACCTCAAACAAGATGGAGTAATCAATCATATTGTTATCAAATGTACACATGAAAATCCTTATATTGCTCGTAGTCTGGAACAAGAATCGGCTATCTAGAAGATGTAACATTTGCTTCGGTTGGTTTGCTATTAGGTTGAGGCTCTTTTACTGAATTGGATGATACATCGATGGCGATATTCCCCAGTCCTACTGCCATTGCCTCCCTTTCATCTTTCTCCACCTTCTGTTTCTCTGAATCACCATGCTTTGAAGATTGGTTTTGATTTGAGACAGATAGACTTGGCTCCTGTGTTCGTGGCCCTGCATCAATCCATGGGTGTTGAAGCAATTGGCAGGCTGTGGGACGCTTGTCAGGAATGAAGTCTAGTATGGGAACAAGAAAATCGGCCATGTCGTTGGCATCTTGCTCACTGAATTCATACTTCTCCATGAGCACTTTGTTTAGGGGCCAAAATCTCAAGCGGCGGATGTGCCTTAAATCGCCATACCTGTTGAAAAATTCACGAGAGTATCGACCACCCAAGGCAATCTGAAAAAAGAAGTTATTTTTGTAACAAAATCTGATAGGAAGTTCATAGGTCAGCCTTACAGAGGGGTATAGATGGCTTACCTTACGAGGCATCATCCCAAGAAGCTCCATCATCAGTGCCAAATGGTCCTACAAAATGTAAGGATCATAATAATTAGAAAAAGTTAATCTAATAGTTAGAACCTACTACCACAAGACCAAATTCCATTGTGTAGGCTATACTACGAATGTGATTTGAACTGGAGGCACAATAGTATTCAGTATGGCAGCACAAAGAGAATAAAGTATCATATAACCTCTAAGTTAGACAAGGATAATTTTTAAACGACACATTTCAGCACTGTGAGTATATAGATTCAGAGCCAAAAAGAAGTTGATATCAAGGCTGGCATGAATGTATAATCTACATGCTGAAAGGACTGTCAATTGTTTAGGAAAAATATGTCGGATACGATACAGAGATGCCCAAGGCAATCTTCACTGGTAAGAAATCTTTAGCAGTGTACTTAGCCAGGCAGCAATTTTTCAAGATAGGTCGACATCTTCACTCAGGACTCCCAAGTAATCTATCCACTTTAAGCATTGTGTCTATCATATCATAAACATACAGGGAAAGTTAGAAGAGGAGAGCTCAGAATACTTAGGGTGTAGCAAGCGAAATTTGTTCACAAAGATGCAAGGAGTGTATCTTTTCATTTTACATGTACCTGCAAAGGAAAAGCTAATATGATAATCCATCCTGTTACATTAGATGGTTTTGCCACTATTTTTCATTCCCCTGTTAAATAGCCCAAGATTGGTTTAACTCAGTAGCATCCTCACTAGAGAGCTATGTAGCATAATCTAGTTTGGAGGATTAATCATGCAGAAGTCCATTTGCAGATTTTCAGTGCAGAACATCTATTGTAATGTTATTTTTCATAATCAATTGCAACAATTTAACCACTATAATTTTTTTCTTTTGACTAATATTACTTATACGACTAGTTATATAGTTCTTCTAGTTTATTTTACTTTTCAATCTTCTATAAATCAACCACTCTTAACTACTGTACTCTAAATGTTAATATAGAAGATGGCAGAAGTTATTAAAATATGACGAGAAGTCAGTTTCTGGTTTACATCTTATGTCTACTCACCATGACCTTGAAACAATTTTTATTCTTTATGTTGAACTTTATCCCATCATGTGAAAACAGATCTTCAATACTAATTTGTATATTATATAATGCCAACAACTAACACACAGTTGCTTTGTTTCTGTGTTCAATTAGCACTTCATCAAATAGAAACAGGAGTCAGTTGGTTGCTGAGTGTTCCCTAATTTAAAATTCAATGTAGATCCTAAGAACTAAATCTTATGATACTCAATATACACAGTTATAGATGTTGCATTAAGACAACTATCTCTTGTACCTGATTAACAAAAGCCTAAAGGCCATGAATTGGAAAAAATGTGGCAGTGATTACTTTGGCTGACATCATGAAAAAGTTTGCTGGTTCGCAATAATGAAGCACTATTAGCCACTTTGAACTTTGAGGTCAAACGAAATGATCTACAGGTGCCTTACAACATGAAATAAATATAGATATGTTCACTCCACACAAACTGGTCAGAGTCCTAAAGGGATTGTTCAAAACTGAATCAAGTTTGTGGATGAAACTACAAGTTGAGTTAAATCTTAAGCATGCTATGAAACCCTTGTGCTTCCGTTCTTTTCCTCACTCTATTTTACACACATCATCATTCCTCTGTAAGTGGCAAGTACTAATTAGCCATAAGTACAAGCCACCAATTCTGTAGCATGCTTCTAGTGGCTCCAGATATGAGAGCTAAAACAAAGGCTATTAATAATCATTTCTGATTCTTCATTCTTCTTCCCCTCTTACAAAAGTATGGAAGTATACCAATATTGGAGAACAAAAACTTCCTTTTGCTTCACGGAAGTCATATACTAAACCTATCAAACTGCCTGTTCTATTGTAGGAGAGGGCCAGCTTCCGTAAGTCATTAAATTTAACCTTCATAAGTCATTAAATTTTATGGAATTGGATCAGTAACAAAGGACTTCTGAAGAATTTATTTTCTGAAATTTCCCATGATACACAAGTTTAATGTACTGTTCAATTTTCTCTTGTCATGTTAGGTTGGGTCAGGTTGGATAATCGCCACTAGTCTAATCAGGAAATATCAGATACTTGAAGAGGATCAATTTCAACTCACATTCAATGAGATCAACTTTTTTACTTCTCATCTATTTATTTTTGTGATGATCTACCATGCCTGAGATTGGGATACTTTATGGGGTCATAAAACATAGAATATATTGGCAAAAAAGTGAAAACTGATCATAAATCATTAGTCTTGTTATATTAGTTTCATATATATACATGTGAGACTGTAAGCCATAGAAGCTATATCTTGATATTTGGTTACTTCAGTATAGAAAGAGATATTACGTAGTTTAGTAGTAAATTATCTCTTTTATCCCCATCTTTTATCTTTGGGAGGTCAATTCTCCTCCTCACATTGTAGAGCACCCCAAAAGGAGTCATATTCTATCGATAGTGGTTAGGCACTAACAATTCTCAAAGTAGCAACGGTAGTAGCATAATTGTTGTTTGAAGTAAATGTGACAGATCAAGTATATTATTTGTGTAGCAAAAAAAAAAGAAAACTTTAAACCTTTAAAGTGAAAGTTCCATGGCACCTACCTCATCTCGGTCAAAATTATCACCACTATGCGGATCAAATAGTACATCTCCTGTTGCAAGCTCAAAGCATATGCAGGCAAATGACCACATGTCCGCAGATGTCGAGTATTTAGACCCGAGAATCACCTCTGGGCATCGGTACTGCCTTGTCTGGATATCATTTGTGAACTGCTTATATGTCCAACATGCATTTCCAAAGTCAACAATTTTGCACCAAAGGTCTACCTCCATTGCTAGCCTCTTTCTCGTGGCTCTGATCCCTCTCCTGTGGCCCTGTGGTGCTCCACTGTGCGTCTCACCACTGCCACCACAATCATTTACCACTCTCGAGTCTCCATTATCTTCCGAGCCATCGGCATCCCCAGCCATGGTTGCTGCACTCCTTGATGTAGCAGCAGCTGCATTCTTCGCCTTCCTTCGGATCTTTTTCTTCTGGTTTTGTGTGAGCTCCCCATTGGACCGAGCTGGTGACGCTGGCAGTGGTTCTTCAGATTTGTTGGTGGACAGGATGAGAGGAGCACCAGAACGAAGTGGATCCTTGTTTGGGTCAATGCTGGACTTGAGGAGAATGTTTTCTGGCTTGAGGTCAGTGTGGATGATAGACAGGTCACGGTGGAGGTAGTCCAGGCCAATAAGGACATAACGGCAGATCTCCTTCACCTTGGAGAGAGGTATCCCTCGGTAGTCAGTGTACTTGATGAGTGTGAGAAGGTTATCTCCGAGGAACTCAAAGACCATACACACATGGTTTCCATTCGGCCCTGAATGCTTGAAATGGTCAAGCAACTTGACCACACAACGAGTATCATCAGCATCACCCTCCGCAATCTGCTTCAAGATCTTTATCTCATCCATTGCGGCCTCCGTGTAGTGCTGTGCACTCTTCTGCACCTTCAATGCCACATACCGCTGCAATGTACGAAGCAAGATTATATTTTATGGATATTTTCTCCAATTTAAAGCAATAAAATGCTCTGTCTTTGTTCCCAAGGGGAGAAATTTTAAGCAGATATCAGATTCTCAATCAAGATCCGACTTTTATTCAATTTCCTGAAGTCTTGAGCTGCGCCGCTAATGAGTTTTCATTGTTGGGGGGGTTTAAGAGAAATTACAGCGACTCTCTCAGCGATTCCCAGTATAAGTGGGGTTTGAATAAAAAAGAAATGAGGGTTTAGAGGATCTTACGGAGTGGACAGTATCCCAAGCGAGCCACACAGTGGAAAAGTGGCCCCAACCAAGCTTGGCCTGGACGATGTAGGCGCCCTGCTTGAAGGAATCCCCAACTCGGACCGCGTGGTACCCGCCCCGTCGGTAGTCCTCGGTGCCCTCGTCCTCCGACGTGTAGTTGCTGCTCTCGCTCCGCCCGTCCTCCTCCGCCATCCGATCACCACCGCCACCGCCGGAACCCCGATCCGACGCCAAGATCTAATCCGAAGCCCCCTCGATCTCCTCGCACTCTCCCTTGCCGAGCTAGGGTTTTGTGGTCCGCTCGCCGTCGCTCCTTCCCTCCCTCTTCTCTCCGTCGCTCGGCCTGAGCAGAAACATAGATCAATAAAAATAAATATACACCGAGGAAGCTTACGATGTACCGCAGGCGTCATCCAACGACGAAATCTCCTCGAGTCTAAAGGAGCAGCAGCATGACGTGTCCTGGTAGTACTCTATGGTCCAGTTTAAATTAAAACGTGTAGAAGGCTCATAAAACACCTGGAGACAGAGTCTGGACTACTTACTGTTGCAGCAAAATAATTGGGGAGCAAAGAAGAGGGGCGGTTTGCTTCGAGTGGAAGGGCGATGCTAATTATGTGGCAAACGGTTGTTGGGTAAAGTGCAAGGGGCCCATTGCTAACCAGTGGGCCACCACCTGTTATGTTTTTGTTTTTTTATTATTATGGTGATATTTAATATCAGCTGAAATATGTGAAGCAATTCATTCCATCAGTATCATAATATTTTACGCATACGTGTAATATCTTAAGGCTGTTGCCATTGCTTTCGCGGGGCCCATGGAGGCTAACCAATAGGAGCTCAGCTAAAACAAAAGGTAACTGATATTAGAAGCTGATTTGTATCCTCAAAAATACTAAAAAGGGAAAAATAAAAGAAAATTAATAGAAAGAATCGGAAGCTGGCCGGGTTCGCAAGAGCGGTTCGGTTCGGTTCGGCCTTCGTCGATTCGGCCACCGGATAGGGTTCGAGATCCTTCCGGTCTCACGTGTGAATCGCACGTGATAAACGAATTCACCGTTGTCCCCTTCCCTTTCTTCGTTGTCTACCCCAAACCCCAAACCCTTCACGGCACGCGTGCAGACGCAGCAGCAAGCGAGTGAGGGAAGGGAGAGAGCGCTCGGTTCCAAGAACTCTAGGGTTTTCCTACGGCTTCCGCAGCCGATCGCGTTGCCTGTTTCTAAGGTTTCGCCCTTCCTTTTCGTTGCTCCCGGTGTCTCTAGAACAAGGGCGGTATGGCGTTCGGGCTGCCCGGGTACGGGATCCAGGCGATGCTCAAGGAAGGGCACAAGCACCTCTCGGGGCTCGACGAGGCCGTTCTCAAGAACATCGACGCCTGCAAGCAGCTGTCCGTCATCACCCGCACCTCCCTCGGGCCCAACGGTGTGCACTTCCGCACTTAATCTCGCTTCAAACAGGGAAAAGATAGATTTTTATTTGTTGCGGGCTTGACCTTTCGTATAATTCCTTACGTAGAGACTTATCGGTCGCCGGATGTTGTTATATGTTATACGATTCCGGTAGATGAAACAATGCTTTGCAGAGATAAAACAAATTGACTACATATTAGAGATTTGTGTTTCCTTTGAATGCTTTACTGCATGTAGGAGTTATTTTGTTGGGTATGGAAGATCAGCGTTTGTGTAAGTGCTGGGTATATTAAGTAGGTCGAAGAATATTTGTGTCTGGCAAATTCCAAACTAGTAGTTTGGAAACAGAGACCCGTCCTATGGAACTTATCAGAGACCACATTAGTATCTAAGTTTACAGGAAACTTACCTCATTGTCCGTGGCTGCTATGTAGGTTAGAGAAGGAACATGATGAGTCATTGTTAGTGTTTGAACATTTTATTTCTTAAGTATTACTTGGCAGGGAATTCATTGATTGCATTGAATTCTTCCAACTAAAAACCAAGGTTCATCCTTATCCTTTTTTTTTTCTAATGTTCCAGAGTATTAGGATTTAGATTCATATGTTCAGTTGATAATTTTTTCTAAATTCTTTTAGGTATGAACAAGATGGTCATCAACCATTTGGACAAGCTTTTTGTGACAAATGATGCTGCCACAATCATCAATGAGCTTGAGGTTCAACATCCTGCTGCAAAGATTTTGGTGTTGGCAGGGAAGGCCCAACAGGAAGAAATCGGTGATGGGGCTAACCTTACCATTTCATTTGCTGGTGAACTTTTGCAAAATGCAGAAGAGCTAATCAGGATGGGTCTGCATCCGAGCGAAATCATCAGTGGTTATACTAAAGCTATCAACAAGGTTCTCTCGAGGGTTATCATTGAGTTTTTTTTACTGTTCCTTTATGTTAACAAGGTTCTTTCCGTAGTGAAATAATCAGTGGCCGTGATTAAGCTTTTTCATATTTTCAGACAATTGAAATTCTAGATGAGCTGGTAGAGAAAGGGTCTGAAACAATGGATGTTAGAAGCAAAGAAGAAGTTGTTTCCCGGATGAAGGCTGCAGTTGCTAGCAAGCAGTTTGGGCTAGAACAACTTCTGTGCCCTATAATTGCTGATGTGAGTATCTCAGTTTGTTTCCAACCCTGCTATCTTATTGGTATTGTCATCTTTGACATGTATGGGTTGCCATCACATGTCAGGCATGCATCCAAGTGTGCCCAAAAAACCCAGCAAACTTCAATGTGGACAATGTTCGAGTTGCAAAACTACTTGGAGGTGGTTTGCACAACTCTACTGTTGTTCGTGGTATGGTATTGAAGAATGATGCCATTGGGACTATAAAACGAGTCGAGAAGGCAAAGGTACTGTATGCTTACTTTTAATGCAAATATGGTCCATTTGCTGATCCACTTCTGTTTGATACTTAATGGAACATGACCTCCTTTCTTGGTAATTGCATCAAGCGTTACATGCCAGTTGTGTTTTAAGCAAGTCCAGTTAGAACCCATGTTTATATCAGTCTGCAATCTAAAAATATCTGTTTTTTGGCAGTTTTGTGTGCACATGTAAACAAGAACCTGGTTTAGATGTGTAAGTACAAAATCCATGGTCAGATTGGTCAAGAAGAAAGCAAAATATGCAAAATTGATGATGAAACAATTGGATCCTTTATCTTTTAAGAGCCTAATATTCCATCAATCTTTAAAAAAAAAGTGTGTTTTATAAACAGGAAGTGTTTGTCATAGTAATATGAATTCCACTAGTGATATTTGTCTGACACATTTGTACAGGCAGAATGATTCCTGAAAAACTGGATATATGTATCTCTTGTATGTGTTCTTACCAAGTCTCCGTACTACTGTATTCTTCTGCATTTTTTAGCTTTTCGGATGATTGAGATCTAATGGCATTTCTTCATATGAGTAATTTCTTCTACTCTTGATTGCAAAGTTACAGTATGTTGAAATTGATTTTGAACTACGGACATCAGAGATTCTTTCCCCCAAATAGTATAATCATCGTCCATTAATTTTCAGTGATGAATATTTTGGATGAACATAAGGATTTCACTACCTTGCATCATTATGTATACTGTGAAATTTAAATTCTGAATTTAAATACTTGTCCAATGCTCATTTCGATAAAATATCAAACTGGTAGGGTACCGCTATGCCATAACGTCCAGGATAACTTAAAAACAAAATAACAAATAACAAATAAAGAAACTTCGGTGGTGTGCTCCCTTTTCCGCTCTGGACCAGGAGAAATAGTGTATTATGTATGAGGTGGGCATTCTTGAGATCAAATTTAGATTCAGCAAGAAGATATCTATTTGATTAGGATGATAGAAAATAAGCTGCTTATTCTTTCTGGCTGCTTTCGTTTTCAAGAAAAAGAGAATTCTTTTAATTAACAGTATTTTAATGTTCAGACTGCTTAGTAAACTTTTCTAGGTTAGTGTTTTGTTTGCTTTTATGATGGTTCTGATCCTTTGCTAGATTGTGGTGTTTGCTGGTGGTGTTGATACATCTGCTACAGAAACTAAAGGAACAGTTCTAATTCAAAGTGCAGAGCAGGTACATGCATCTACATATTTTAACATGATGTATTTTTCACTGCATATACCTATTAATTGTGAAAGTCCAAGTGCTATTTGCTGACTATATCAGCTAGCTTCAATTTAGTTAGGGAGACAGCTGTTTGATGGTAATGGCCAAGAAATGATCGTATTTTGACTGATGTTTCTCACGATTTTGAAGCTTGAGAATTATGCAAAAACTGAAGAATCCAAAGTTGAGGAGCTTATCAAAGCTGTTGCCGACTCTGGTGCCAAGGTGGTTGTGAGCGGAGCTGCTGTTGGAGACATGGCATTACATTTCTGCGAGCGTTATAAGTACATTTTCTTTTGCCGAAACAATAGCATCCATTTTCTGTTTGGTCTTTGTCTCTTTCCTTTTTCATTAATTATGTTTTTTTTCTGGATTTTCTGTTGTTTTTGCATCGTGTTTTCAAAATATATTCTTTTTTAATGTCTATTTCACTTTTCTCTTACCATGCGTTATCTTCAATGTTTCTTCAGATGCAACCTGTAGTGTGTGTGTACTGCCTTTCACGTTTTTCATGCTACCAAGATAGGTCCACTATTTTGTAGATTAAAGAATAGTTTTTTTTCGGGGCAATAACTCTCTCTCTCTCTCTCTCTCTCTCTCTCTCTCTCTCTCTCTCTCTCTCGCTCAGGACAAATATGGTAAGAGCACCTGATATCTAGGGTTTAGCATCTGTTTATATTCACTTGACTTTGGCAGGTTTCTCGATCATGAATTAATTGATGGGCATGTGGTGGTTTTTGATGAGTAAATACTATTGGGACTTTTCGTATTTGCATCAAACATTATATCATAGTCATTGTAAAGTATATGTCATAACCTTTTTGGTGAAAGAAACTTGACCTAAGCTTTCAATAGACGTGATTATAATATTGCAAGGTAACAATTTCATAAGGGCTTTCAGAATGACCTACATTATGCATTAACATACATTGTACAATTCTAAGATGTAATGAACATAGGAGATGGCTGAACTAGACAAGGAAAAAATTTAATACCGACAAATGAAGCTTCTTATTCATAAAGGAGAATATCTTTAACTTGATTATTTTGCAGACTCATGGTTCTAAAAATCAGCTCCAAGTTTGAATTGCGGAGATTTTGCCGTACAACTGGTGCTGTAGCTCTTGTAAGTTTGTTGTTACATTACATTTTCTTCTTGTCTTAATGGTGTGTACTATCGCAGTTGATAACTTGTGTTTAATTATTCATTCAGCTGAAACTGAGCCAACCAAATCCAGATGAACTTGGATACGCAGATTCCATTTCAGTGGAG